TGAAAACCAGCTATAAAGAATGTTCTTTCCACAGAGCTAGTGAATGCTGAAGAAGCAAAGAGACTATTAAGCCTGTTTCCTACAGAATTTCTCTCCTGTAATGAGAAAGAATGGTTTGTGATGGAGACTGTGAAATTTAAGATCTTGAGGTGTGTGGATAAGTCACTGAAGTCTTTTTGTATCTCAATACTTCACCAGGAAAACAGGCATAGAGAAGTACCTTACTAGTCCAGGAATAGATCCAACATAAATAATAGCAGAGTGAAAAGAACACCAGAAAAGACCCAGTATTCCCAAGTCCTACAGCTACAAACTGAGGAGATGGAGCTGAGCATCCACAGTGCTATTGTTTGGAACTATGAGAGTACAACAGTGGCCAGAACACCTTGTTGTGGTTTCGACTGCATCACAGATGTACTCCACCACAGATCACAGTGAGAGATGTTCAGGCACTGCACAATGGCAAATATATATAAGAGTAACAGTTTTTAACATGGAGGTTTTATTATTAAACAACACGTCACACTATAATTTCTTTTAAGGTGTAGTTTAAAATCAATGATACCTGAAATACTCTTTCACTAAGAACAGATTAAAATTTATACTGAAAAACATTAATGCAATAAAGAAAATAATTCCATAACAATATAAAAACTTGCTTCTCTTGGCCACACTCAATCAATTCTGACAATTTTGAGAAGTTTTTTTACCTGTAATTTTTAATCAGTGTTTAAACAACTACTTTTAGATGGATATTAATATCTTCCTCAAAAATGCTTCAGCAGGTCAAAGGTAGGGAAAAAAGTTAAATTGTGAAAATTTTTCTCAGACATTCTGAGATGTTCTGTAAGTTAAGCACTATATAATGCGTTGTCCATCACATTGCCTTTATAGAAAGTCACAAAAGGTGCCTCTGACCCAAGCCATTAGGCAGCCTTTTCCTGTCCAAAACATCTCATTTTTTATCAACAATTTTGTTCCAAATAATGCCAAATACGTTGACTACACCTGATGAAACTTCCAATAGAACTCTCCTCAAGACAAACCACAGGCTCAAAAGATCTCATTTAATATTTATTTTTGTTTAATTGAGACCCACTTAACCTTTATGTATTACTGTGTTTACTCACAAAAAATAATACACACTGATATAATAAAAGTTTTCTTGAGGCAAAGAGAAGTGTATATGTTGGATAAACTCCTACTGTCATTTTATTTTAGAAGGTATATGTTGATTTTGTTACCTATCAGCCCATTTCTTAGTTTTGCACACACACAAAAAAATTGAAATTTGTGCTTATATTAAGATTTAGAATTATTTAAGTTTGTACAATGCTGTCCAGTGTGAATCACTTCAAAATTTAAGGTGTTGAAAGCATTTCTATATTTTTACATTCATCATTACACGTTTTGGAACATTTAGCAGGATTTATATTTTGCCATTGTATTTATGTGGCATCTCAGTTACACAAAGCACTGAGCAAACTGGGTAACCACTCTTTAAAATATTGGCAACTCTGAGATTACTTCATAACTAGGTATTATATAGGACAGTTCTTGATTCCAGCCACACTGCAGTTTTCTGCTCTCTCAGTTACACTAAGAAACAGTTATTAACTGCAATGTTTAATTAATTTTAATTAATTCTAATCTGGATTCTCCAGTGGCCACAAAAAAAGTTATAGCTGTGTAACCAGTTAAAAGTAAAAAATACTTATTATAGAACTACATACTAAAAGGCTAGAAAATGCAGGAACCCTATTGCTCTGACCTGAAAGGCTGTAGCAGTGCGTTAACATTTTATTCTTGAAGATCTAGCTAGAGAAATAAATGGAAGAGAGTTAGGTTAAAACACCCTTTGGGTGAAAATCACCTTGTCAAAATGACAGCTTGAGAGGACATCTGCCTCCTTCCTCTAAGTCTTCTGTGTCACATTCACTTAGACAAATTTACAAACTATTTATATAAGCAGCAATGGGCATACAGAAGTAGATGTATCAAGAAAAAAATAGTTACTTAGCAAAAGCAGTTATTTGAATATCAATGTCATGGAATCCAGTGGGAATGGAGCTATCCCCCTGTCTACTACCAAGGCAATAGAGTAGATATATGCGAAATAGTTACTTCAATATACTTAAAATTGTGAAAAATTATTTTAGCAGTATTAAATTAACTTTGTTTCACCAACTTAGCAACATCAGTTATTTAAATGGCAATTTCGGTGCATTTGGCCATGTGCAGTTATTCACATATTTGCAGTTTCAATAAAGAAGAAATATAATGCAAAATTAAACTGGTACCTGCTGATCAGAGAAGACTTTCATGACAAAAAAAGAAAATGCTATGGGTATACTGAGGCATATATATTACAGCTAAGCACAGTCTACACCTCACCTGCTTAACAGATGTAGACAAGGATGCTCTCAACAACTGAGCTAAAGCAATTTTAGGAGGTATAACTTCAGACTGTTAGTTACAGCCCTCAAACACACTCCAATTCACTGACAACAGTATCCAAATGGTCTTCTCATACTTTCCAGTAGCTAATAAAACATGTTACATTGTCTTAAGTGGTAGTTCAAACTAACCTATCCCAGTATGTCTTCAGACACAGTGCTAGAGAGGAGAGTAATGATGGGATTAAGTTTTTCTTACTACTTTCTTTCTACTCACAGAAAGGTGCCTGTCCATATCATAAAGGACTTCTTTTTGGTCAGGTGACAGATGTTAAAGAACGGTTAGTCAAATGCTAAGAGAATGGATTAGAAGAGTCTCATTAGATATCTCCACAAGCTTATTTTCAGAAAATATAGAAAATGTATTTATGCATCGCCTGCACTTAAATTTTATATTTTGTTTATAGCTAAACTGAAATTATTGGATGAATCTTTATATGGTATGAAATTGAAGTTTGTCATTTGTACAAAACAACAGAGTTCTTCACTAAAACTTAAGCTACAGTTCTATGCAGTGTCACTGCCACTTCAAGCAAGGACAAAAATAATAGGTTTTGTGGTACCACTGTAGAAACCCTCCAAACCAGCCTGAGGGAAGTCACTTCAAAACCAACAGAAACCAAACAAATAAACAGCAAAACTCTGAGGCTTTGTGGCAAAGTGATGTACACAAACACACCAGAATTTTTAAAATTCCCACATAAATAATTTGTTTTCTATCACAGTATTTGAATTACAGTACATAAATACAAATTCAGTTTTTAAACTCAGAATGCAAAGAATGAAGTATTGGGAAAAACAATTTATCACAATCAGCAAATACAGTATCAAATCTAATTTATGATTTCTTAAAATATAATTAATAGTACATAGAAAGTGATCACCGAAGAAAGATTTTCCACTTGTAAAAAAACCTTGTTCTCACTTTGTTTTGTTTTGGGTTGTTGTTGGGGTTTTTTTCGTGTTTTTGTTTGTTTTTTCAGATTCATATTTGGTTTCCATTTTTACCAAATTTAAACTGTGAAATTGAGCAGAAAAAAACCCACGAAGTTGTAATGCTTGTATACATGTATCAATAAAGATAAAACAGCACTACCTGCTGAAATCATTGTAAATATGATTCAGTCAAAGCAATGCTTAAATAGGTGATATATTTTTAAGATATATTGATACAAGTGTAACTGCAGGTTCTAGAGAAACACGGTTGTCAAACAGAAAGGGGAGGTGGGCTGGCTAACATTCCTTGAGGGCTGGCTGTCCACACACAAGTCATAGATTTTCACTAGTGATGGGAAACTTACTGATACGACAGAAATACTGGTATTTTAAATATATGTCACACCAAGTATGATGTGACAATATTTTTGTGCTACAGCATTGTCAGTGATGGACATTCTGACCACTACCTTGTCTCTTCATGGCTCTGTGTTCACCTCCAGAGTCATCCTCTTACATGTTGCAGTGAGTCTGTTTCACTGGTCTAGTATTTCTCCACTATTTTTCATCCTTGTATAAATTTACTTTACAGATGCTGCATATATGCCATTGAAAGGCAGTGTTATTTCTAAATTTACGCCCATTCGATCAATCTCCAGCATAGCACTATTTTAGTTTGTTGTAATTATATTGTTTACTGCAACATCATCCTTACACAAAGTTAATACATGATCACATCTTCCATAAAGGTCAGCATAACCGAAAAACAAACAGCGTTTCTCCATGAATATGTACCTGTTCATACTGTTCAAGAAGTAAGAAGGACAAGTGTTTTACATCTAGGTCAGATAAGCAGATAAACACACATTCACAGAAACTGAACAAAAAATTGCAGCCTCAACAATCCAATGTACCGTTTTACCACCTCTACTTGCCTTCTGGAGTTGAAGAGGTAAAGAATAAAGGCTGCATTTTACAACCATACGGAAATCTGCACAGCATCATTATCATTCAGGACCACCCAATTCCTACTGCATTCTTACTGTCCTCTCTCTTAGGGTGGCCTCATGCAACATACAATATTCACACAACTGACAAGCTCAACACATCAGTTTTTATCATTCTGAAATGTCACTCTCTACTTAGGCTCCAAGCTCAATGAGATTTTCTAGCTCCTAAGAGGACTGTTGGGAGAACATCCGTTATAACATGGAGCCTCCAAGCCCCAAAAGAAAGACATTAATTGCCACACTACCTTTGATTATAGAGACGTTTACAGAATGAAATTAAAAGCAAAGCAAGTAAGATACTTCTTCTTGGAAGTAAATCCATATGAAAAAAATCAATTAACTGCTACAAACGAAAACAAGTCAATAATTCACAACAAAACGCCTTGAAAGGAACATTACACATTAAACGGCTGATATGGATTTACATGATCAGGTAGGTTAAAAGAAAATAGAATTTTCACTGAAAAAGTTAACCTTTTTTTTTCAGCTTTCAAAACAGACAGCAAGAATTTTTTATATTGATCAGGAATAGCCTTCAGTTTGTTAGTCCTTATTTTTTTTCTTTTAACAAATCTCTCTACTAAAAATGATGCCCTACCTTTGTTCATATCAATCAACTGCTGCTTCTTCTTCTGTCGCTCCAGTTTCTCTCGTTCAGCCTTCTCTTTTGCCAGTTTGGCTCTCTTAGTTTTCTCCTCCATTTCTCTTCTTTTGTTGTTTTCTTTTAATGCCTCCTGCAATAGAGAAAATGAACATAGGTGTCTATATACTGAGGAAAACTAGAATGAATAACAAAAATAACTTTGTTTTCACAGATACTGTATTCATCCAATAAGGGAGAAAACCAAACAAGGACTGGCACCCACCCAATACTTCAAGAGTCTTCAAAAATCTTAGAGGAAACATAACTTACCCTGCTATTTGTACACATCAGCATTATCAGATAATCAGAAAAATGAAAACTGACATATCTTTGCATTTTACAGTGTCCAAATTTTTCAGCAGCAACATGTTGTTGTGGTTTTTTTTTTCTATTAAGACTTCAAGTCTAGCTTAAATATGCATCTTGCTGTTAGGAAGAATGAGTGGGGATGAAGCCTAATTCCCACTATAATGGGCTTCAAATACAAGTAATTGAAACTCAGTTACTAAAATTTAAGCTACAATTCCTGAAATATTTTAACTGAAATAGCCAAAGCAGTCTGGATCACTTAAATATACAACACACATCAAAAGTAATGGAAAACAGTTGAATTTATAGATTAAAACTCTAAACCTACTCTACTCTAAATATCTGAGTAAACAGGTTACACAAACTACCAAACTAAAAGCTACAAACATAAGAGAATATCTCTGAATTAAAAAACAAAACAAACAGCCACTTCCCATGATCTTGTCTCCATCTGGTCTAGAAGATATCCTCCTTTTCCAAAGGAAATGAATCTCAATTTCTTGCTGTGGTAGGCTGACCTCGGCTAGCTGCCAGAGAGCCACCCAGCCACTCTCCCACTCACCCTCCTCAACAGGGTGAGGAGACAGTAAAATGACAAGCTCATGGATTGAGAGGAAGACAGGGAGGTTGCTCACCAATTACTGTCACTGACAAAATGCTTGGTGAAGATTAATTTATTGTCAATGAAAATGGAGTTGGATGGTAAGAAACAAAGACCAAAAAGAAAACCTCTCCCCATTCCTGTCAAACTCAAATCCACTCCTTCATTCCCATGTCCTTTACGCTCCCCCCCAAGCCCCATGTGATGTTATCATTTTGGGCCGCTCCTTCCTCCTCACTTTTCACCTGCTCCAATGTGGGTGCTCCCTGCAGGCTCCAGTCCTTCACCATCACCCTGCTCCACTGTGGGTGCTCCCTGCAGGCTCCGGTCCTTCACCATCACCCTGCTCCACTGTGGGTGCTCCCTGCAGGCTCCAGTCCTTCACCATCACCCTGCTCCACTGTGGGCGCTCCCTGCAGGCTCCAGTCCTTCACCATCACCCTGCTCCACTGTGGGTGCTCCCTGCAGGCTCCAGTCCTTCACCATCACCCTGCTCCACTGTGGGCGCTCCCTGCAGGCTCCAGTCCTTCACCATCACCCTGCTCCACTGTGGGTGCTCCCTGCAGGCTCCAGTCCTTCACCATCACCCTGCTCCACTGTGGGCGCTCCCTGCAGGCTCCAGTCCTTCACCATCACCCTGCTCCACTGTGGGTGCTCCCTGCAGGCTCCAGTCCTTCACCATCACCCTGCTCCACTGTGGGCGCTCCCTGCAGGCTCCAGTCCTTCACCATCACCCTGCTCCACTGTGGGTGCTCCCTGCAGGCTCCAGTCCTTCACCATCACCCTGCTCCACTGTGGGCGCTCCCTGCAGGCTCCAGTCCTTCACCATCACCCTGCTCCACTGTGGGCCTTCTCCACCAGCTGCAGGGCCACCCTGGCTCAGGGGCCTGAGCACCTCCTCCCTCCTCCTCTGGCCCTGGGGCTCACAGAGCTGCTCCACACACTTTTCCCCCCCTCACTGCCACGCAACACGTCGCTCTTTCTTAAACAGGATTTTACAGAGCCACCACCAGCTGCCGTGCTGGGCGCAGCTGGGCCCGGTGGTGGGGCTGTCGGAGCTGTTCAGAAATGGCGGGACCTGGTCATGTCCAGCCCGGGGCAGCCCCGGCCTCCCCTCACAGCGCAGGTCCTGCAGCCCCCGCTGCCAGCACCCGGACACATCACACTTCCTGATCACTTCTTCTCACAAATAACCTTCCTAACTCCTTTTACGGTGCCTACTCTCTCAAAAAAGAGAAATATTTTAATTCCCTTAAGCTGTTCCCCACGATCCTAAATTTCTCCTTAGTTTTGCCTTCCCTAAGATTAATTTATCATGAAGAAATTCACTGAAATCCATCATGATGGAATTTCACCTAACGCCAGATAGACAGACATGATAAATGTTATGGATAATTTTCTTATTTATATTCACAACAGCTACAAATTTATTGCTCTCTTTCCTCTCCCTCTCACAGTATACTAACATCCTCTACCTAACGATTTCGGGAGTCCCAACACACTATGACCAACAAATAGTTAATAACAGTAAAGATACTGGATTCAAAAACGTCCGGAATTAACACGGCACATGCTCATTAATGAAGTTTCAGCTTAAAAAGCTGAATAATCAATATTTACAAAGTACTGGGCATAAGATAAATGGTTTCCATGCCAATATTTACTTTATTTCCTATGCAATTTATGCATGCCTTAAAAACTAGAAAATCATATATATTCACGAAGAAGATGATTTATTTGTGGATGTATTTGTAAAAATCCAAGACAACACATCAGTTATTATTTTACAAGTAAAATTTACTTAAGAAATTTGGGGCAGACTTGTATTATATACTATTCTATATATTCCTCCAAAATTACATTTCAAAGGTTTATAAATGAAGATAACTATTCACTTTACTGTGTACATGCTAGGAAGAAACTATGGACAAAGACTGTCACTTCCAAATCAAAACCCTATCTAAAGTACCTTTAAATGTTAAGATTTATATAAATGATGTCATTATTCTGTAATCTAAGACTCCCAAATGCCTCCACATACAGAACATTCACTCAGGCAAAGGACAGACTACTTCGCTGCGCATATGCCATTTCAAGACATTACTGAGGTAAAATACTACATACAGCCCCTTCCTTAAAAGCTGATACTGTTTTGCAGAGATGCTGGATACCACAGTTATCAGTGATGTTACTTGTGGATGCACCTGAAAATTGGATCAAGAACTGCATTTGCTGTACCATCACGTAACCGAGCGCACTGAGAAACACCTTTTCTTTCAGAAAAGAGAAAAGAGAATTAAAGGAGAAAATCAATGTTTTATCCTTTTTGTTTTTGGACACTTCTGTCTCTGCACATTCAATCACACTTGACAGAGATTTCATTTTACTGCAACTTCACAGGCTGTAATGAAAGTAAATGCCCACAATCTTACAAGAGAAAGCAAATAAGAAATGTCATGGCTGAACTAGTAGTCCACTAGCCATTGACATACTATGATTAGATCATAGATTCTGTCACATTTTCTAAAAGGAAGACTACAGTAGACTGAATTAAACAAGTTCCAAAGTTAGTGTATCTGGAAATTCACTTTGAGCCAGACTCTATAAGTCCTACCCTAAGGGAGATATATGAAAATACAGATCACAGTTCATTAAATATGCTGGCTACCAATGATGATTCAAAGAAAAGCCATTCAAAATAATGGTTTAATATTCCTGAAGAATCATAAAATAACAAAATATGGATAACTGTGCCTATTTTTATCTACCTACACCCATCCCTTCATATACATGCATATCTACATACAAGTAAATCCCAAACAAAACCCACCATTTCAACAAATATAGCACAGGCAGCACAAAGAGAGCAGATGGGCCTATCTGTTATTTCTTCAAAATGCACATTTCCTAGTATTTTCTTTTCTTCCAGGGTGTAAATGCTTTAAAGTACTTTCACATAGAGCCTCTTTCCACAGACTATAAAGGAACACTTGGGAACAGCAAGTAAAGATCCACTAGGTACCAATGTGAAATACTAGAGCTTTTTCCACACAACTTGTTGCTACAACAGATAGGGGTTGCAGCAAATGGGCACTAACACCCGGTACCTTGTACAGTGGTGAAACTAGGTGTTCTGCAAGGATGGAAGGAGAAATCCCAGCAGGGCATCGCGCCAACACTCTTTTGGGGCTTTTAGTCCATAGACTGGTCATTTTAGAACTGGCAGTGCAATGCAGCACCACACACATACAGCATCAGAAACATTTTCTTAACAACATGAAAGGGCTAGTCTAGAAAAAAAAAAAAAAAGAAAAAAGTGTCTTATCTACTCTTAAAGTTGCTGTAGTACTCCAGTAACAGCTGGAATATTTAGTGGATACTTTCCTGCCATCCCCAATTCTCTTGAACCTCCAACCCACCCAAATAGTTTTAGGCCACATTCCTTGAAATTTAACATATATTTTCATCTACATACCAATTCAAAATTAATATTGTGAAAAAAAGAACAAGGATGACCTATTTGAATCATCACCACCATTTCGTGCACACAACCCCTTTCCTTTTTTAAAGTATCTCAGAACCAAACCACCTGGAATGCACTTTTTATTACTCTCCATCAGGCAGTCGGACTCTTAACCATTTCATATTTGTTATGTCACTTACTATTGTACATTAAGTCAGAGTTGGATGAAAGCCTGAAATAAATCATCTGCAAGAACATACTCCCAGATGTTTTCAAGTTATGTGCTGAAAGAAAAATATATGTTCATCTGTATTTATAAACACACTATATATTTGAAATAATATTGCTAACAAATTTGATCATAGTTCTTCAAAGCTGATTGAATATGACTGTAAATAAAGGTAAAGAGAGTTTTGACTCAGCTCTGTAACTGGCATTGCTTCTAAAAGAAGGGAGAAAAATCTGCAGTTTTGTTACTGCAATGTAGCTCAACAGTGACAAAGTGCATACTAGCGTTCGTAGGTACACAATACACAACTGTATTTATTCCCTAATTAAAGGATAAGAACAAACTAATATAACAAGCCAGAGAAATGTCACAAAGCGAGAAGCAATCCAGAGTTAAGAATAAAAGCCTTCCCAGAAGTTTTGGAAAACATTTTGGTAAGTATTCATCTAGATACTGTCTTCTCAGCGTTTGTAAGTGTATGCAAAACGT